CACGTGTTGACCACCCTTCGACAGGGAGAGCATGCAATGGTCTCTCCGACAAGGCCGGAAGAGGAGGCAGAGGAATACAAGTGTCAACATTGCGAAAAAAAGCTTCACATCAATGACAAGTTTGAAGGAGCATATGGCGATAAGTCACAAAATCAAGTTTACAGGTGGCGTCACGTTCGATGCCTCCAAGCATGCCACGGGGAATCTTCCTCAATGTGCATACTGCGGACACAAATTTGATGAGTGGCATGGACTCAAAATGCACATTGAGAGAGTAAATTGCCCAAAACTGATGCTTGGACAAATGCAAGCCAATCTCATGACTACAGGTGACGCTCCTGTCGTCGAGCCGCCGAGAGCCACGCCGCTGCCAGCTCATGAAAACCTTGAAATTACCCGCTTGTTGGAAGAAAAAGGGTGGAAGTCACTGATGGATACGCAGCATGCGCAACACTTTGCACAGCGCTGTTGCCTTTGCAATCGATGGGTGAGAGACCCGACCGCTGTGAAAAGGCATCTATCACAGGCTCNNAGTGGAAGCAAGTGGCCTCCCGGCTAGAAGCAAGGTGCGCTGAGATCAAGCATTTGTTGGATAGAGATGGGGTCTGCCCTTGGTGCACTAGGGTCTCCTATAGTCGCCATTCTAAACAATGTAACATTGTATTCCAATGCGCGCTGTTAGGCTTACTACACGAAGATGGTCGAGGAGATCACGTCGGTGTTCGGAGATTGGCTGCCGGCTCTATCGGCCCAGCAGAACGGGGCAACGAAGAAGCCCCGAGAGCAGGGGCAGAGCGACGGGCAGCCGGGTTCAGGACCCCAATGCAGTCAAGGCAGCGGTGGAGCGCAAGGTGATGAATCCGAGCAAGCAGTTCGTGTTCCAAAGATGGAATCCCAAGGAGCAAAAACTAGAGCAAGATCCCGACCGCAGCGCTCTCAGCGTGGAACAGATCCAGCAGCTCCTTCAAGAATTGGGAACGTGCTGCAAAGACAGCATCATAACCAAGTTCAACTCGGTGCGCAAGATGAAGAAGGAGCCAGAGGAAAACGAGAAAGCAGTCTTCGTCGTCGAAATCGCCCTGAGATCTCCAGAGGCACACCGCGCGCAGGAGCTGCTGACCCAGCTAGCCAATTGCACGGTGTGGAACCTAGTGCAGCGCAAATGCGCCCACCGTCCCTGAAGAGACACGGTCTGGCAGCGGTCCTCCAAAAGGCTTTGGAGGCCGAGTAGGCGGCTCCAGCAGTGGTACCAACAGGGATAGGAGGCCAGCGCCGTCAAATGGGCTGCCCAGTGATGTGATTAGACTGAAAATGAGAAATAATAGCAACACCTGTTATCTCAATTCAACAGTCTTCTCGATCCTCTGGCAGGTTTCTCAACGGGTTGATGTGAGCATCCCCGATACCTGGATCAGGGCGATGGCAGGCGGTGAGTGGAATCCGGTCAATTTCCTTCGCTTTCAGCTAGTAGGATGGAGACAACCCCCATATCCAGCATGATGCGGCTGAGTTCATACAATTTCTTATGCCCAAGCTCGGCTGGCTAGGTGATGGATTCTCATGAGGAGCTCGCGTACAGGTTGAAGGCCAGATGGAAGAGTTCCTTCACAGCGGAAACACGCGCATTCTGCTCATGGTTACACCAGACGGACTGTGTTGCTCGGATATTCAACAGTTCATCAATCAGTGGCATGCGCAAGCGCACACACATGCACTTCACAGCACCCCACGACACATTTACATGCAACTCCCCAGATACAGAGAAACCCCTGGCGGCATTGTGAAGCATACCATCCCTATCGACCTTCACAGCAGGGAAATCATGCTTCCCGTGTTCACCTCGCAGTTCAACACCAACGTCAGCTGGAAGATCTATGGCATTACTACGGCTATCACTCACTTGGGTCCAACTCAAAACTCGAAACATTACAGAGTTGCGGCATTTATGCCTAATCACACGAACTGCTGGTACTCCAATGATAATCAAGCTGCTGAACAGATGTCTATCATACCAGCTGAAGTTCAGGAACAGAGCTATATACTTGGCTGCTTGGCCAGGTAGCCGCGCCTTCTGATGGATGCCCAGTGTGCTGAGGTGGCACTCAGCAATGGTGAGCCATTTACTGGCCACCAGAAAGGCAAATGGGGAAAAAACCTTTTTGTGTGTGTCGGTTTCTTGCCACATGCTGCATTGAATTTGTTTCTGCAAGCCCGGGTCAAACGCCGCCGTGTTGTGATTTTAGCTCAAGCGCATATTACATGATTTTCCAGTTCAGCAGGCATCTCACACGTGCTTCACACATCCCAATTCCTCACAAGTTGGACAGCTTTTGATCATCGACATTCGAACTGCCCCACTTGGGTGACCCCTGGTCCCCAGCATGTCAGGCTCTTCTAGTACCTCCTCCTCCTCGGAGGAAGCTGCAAGTGACAGGGAAAGAGGAGAGGCAGAGGAGGACTTCAGAGAAATGTGTGCGCGCGCGAATATTAGATTATGCGTGAGGCACCATTATGACATGCTCCTGGATAAGGGTCACTCTAAACGGAGTGCTAGTAGTATCAACGGCCACTTAGCAAGCCGATGCTCAAACCAGTCATGGACCCAAGTGCGGGATCACGTGATCGGCTTGCTCCCGGAGGCACTTCAGAATATTCTCAATCAGGAGCTTGACCTGATGGGGGCAAATTGGGATGTTCCTTTCCTTCCGAATGACGCACACATCATCCGCCAGAGCATACCGGAAGAACTGCCGGAGCCAGAGGATGGGGCACAATTTGCTAAGGACCTTCTTCGTACCTCTCTTTCTCAGCGGACCGATGGAAGCGAAAGAATTCTGGAGGTAATGATAAGGCACTCGAGATATACGCTGACCAAGATCTGGATGGAGTTCCTTGTGCGGTCCATGCCGGTAGACCGGCGCATTACCTTTATAGCCTGGCTTGGTGAGTGGAAATTGAACAAGAGGAGAAGGCGGCAATGATGCTAACCACTATCATTGGGTGCCTGTTCTGGCGCCAACACAAGAAAGCCTCTCCTAAATTCTTTCCACCCAAACGACAGTCCGCTGAGGATGCTCTCAGAAGCACATGCTCCATGTATTGCGACAGGCTCAGCATTGGGTTGCCATCTTTCGGCCCCTCTCCGTGACAGCAATGTCTTTCAGTAGCGCTGATGCACCCTCCCAGTCAGTGAACTGCGGTTCCTGTGGGGTAGCAGCTTGTACGTTTCACCCATTAGCATCCCGCTGCCACTGAGCAGCAGCGGCCAATGTGTCGTGTAACTAGCTCGCTAGTAGGTCAGATCAGACCACTGCGGTTCAAAGTGCGAAAAAAGGACCCACCCAGCCGAGGTGACATAACGCAGCGGAGATGGCCAATGTGAATGTGACCAGAATCCTTTTTAGCGCTGAGAGCTTGGGTGTGACGTTGACGTCGAGCACTGGTTGAACAACCATGTGTCAGGATGAGTGATCTTGGGTTGTTTGAGGAAACGCGCCCTGCGTCTCTTGTGTTTTTCGCAGCCTTCTGGGTTTGGGGGTGTGGGGGTGGGAGGCCGGGTTCCTGCTGACCTTAGCCTTGTGAGCCCAAACCCTGGAACCCAAATTTTCATGTATGTTGTATAAAGAGGGAAAAACTCTGTAAAACTAGTGTTTTGCTATGTTTTGGGCATGGTCGCCATATGAATGGGCATTGCTAGCCTTTTTCCCGACACAAAAAAACACAGAAAGAGACAACGAAAAACACAGAAAGCAAAAGGTAAAAAAACAGGCAAAAGCGAAACAACAGGGCCTGACAAAATTTCGTTTGGAGTCTGCGCCAAAACGCTGCTGCCGCCTGAGTTTTGTCACGCTACTCCTCGAAAACTATAAACTGTGTCATGGATTCGTGGCCTGCTACCTGATGCGTCCTGCTATAAAGGTATATACACAAACGCAGGGCGAACCGCTAACCTTGTTTCACAGTACTGATGGGGGCAAACTTGCAGCATATTTGAATAGGCGGGCGCGCACAAGTCACGCGTTGAACCAATAACACGTGACTCAACCCCTTGGCTTTCACACAGGGGAAAAATGTGTGGAGCGCAGAGCTGTCACGATGAGGGTTTACATTACGTTTGCACTTTTTCTATGGGTGCATGGTTGAAACGTTAAGTCCTTCATTGATGAACAATGCTTTCAAGATGTGTGGCGCTGGCGAATATTTCCGAAGAAATGGAAATTGCCAAGTTTTCCAATGGCCGCGGCTCCTCATCCACCCGGAAATCCCAACTCCATCTTGTAAAACAAGAGCCAATCCCAATAGTCAATTTTCAAATTCAATATTCGGTTTTAATTGAGTGTTTTTGTACACCCTGCGCCAGATGCTTTCGAAGTTGACTGGAACATGCTTTCATTTGCGCACCGCTGCACGATTGTCTTCAATTGAAAGTGCGGCTTATAAAGTCGATGTGTGAAGGTGACATGTGGAACTTTTGCATTTTGTCAATCGTGGTTTCGTTGCAGCACTTCTGTGTCGATGGTGCCTTTCATATTGGGTTCAATGCCGCGCTTGACTTCCATGAGCTTGCATGTGATAGCCCAACAGTCGCATTGTGCAGCCCGGTCGACGTCCATGTCTAGACATCGCATCTTGTCCAGAGCACGCAGAACATGTAGGTGACACATGTTTTGTGCAAATTCAGTTTGCTTGGCCATCAGTTTGATTCATGGCCAGGTTGGTATTGTGATCTTGTGTGTAAGCAGCCTGTGGTACATGCACGTGATTTTGGCAAACAGTACTCATAATGTTTTGTGTTTTTCATCTGTGTCTTGTAAGCAACCATCCAATTTCAGTATGTTTCGTACAACTTCTTACCCAAATGATGCGTTGAGCACCCTTTTGCCGATAATGCCGCGCTCCAAAGATGCGCGCAGGCAGGCTTTAGGATCAATGATGACATCCGGTTTGGGTCATCTAGCCCTCACATTTTGGCGTTCAAATCATAAGTGCCATGCTTCTGTGAATGGATGATGTGTGTCACCACGTCACATGTTCCAACCACTTAAAAAGTCGTGTGAAAACCCACATACACAACGTGCATTCTTTGGGTATTTGCGACTTCTCAAGCTGGAATTGTGCTGGCACTTGATGTTCTCACAGGCGTTGCTTCCCATGCAGTTTTGTGGAGTGGTCCGCTCAACGGCACGTGGTTATTTGCGGAAGGACAGGTTCAGGCACGCCATTGTCAGGCATTATTGGGCCAGGAAGAATCCTAAACGCGGATATGTTGCCGACCTTCGGGACTGGCGAAACTACTTGCCAGAGACCCTGATGAGTCGATTTTTCTTTCAGCTGGAAAGATGGCTCGGCAAGACGAAGCGATCGACCTATCCGCCTATTCTTGACATCTGCAACTCCGGGGGCAAATTTGGAACTCCTATACCCCGTCCTGATATTGTGCTGCGAAAAGGTTTCCCGAAAGGTTCATGGGAATGGCAAATGCACATGTATGGAGCGGCCTTATATTGGCATGTTGCTGCCACTCCAGGCGAATCAATTGTTGACGTGAAGGAGGATCTCCTTCGAGACAAGTCCGTGTTGGAAGTTGGATGCATGCGAGGTGGTGGTGCTCGGTACCTGGCAGAGGTGGCTGCACCCCGAGAATATGTGGCCACGGATGCTTTGCTGGACAATATCAACGCTTGTAACAATATTCATGTACCTCTCCCTCCAAACTTGCGGTATGAACAAGCAGATGCCGATGCCCTCCATGAAAAGTACGGGAATGATGCCTTCGATGCTTTGATTTGCGTTGAGGCGGCAGCGGATATTCAGAACACAGACGCCTTCGCCCAGTCGGTCGGAAGTGTTTTGAGACCCAATGGGCTCCTGTTGCTCTGCGATGCCTTCACTCCTGATGCCTTGCATAGCCTCTTAGACTCATTGAAAACCCAGAACTTCGACATAGAGGTTTGTACTGACATTGGCAAATGGGTTCGCGCAACTGGACTTTCTCCAGTAGAAATCGGTGAGTCTCACAGCGTCTACGGTCTTGCTGCTTGCACCTACATGCGGATTGTTGCCCGCAAGATGTCATAAAAGCGCGCAGTGGGGTTGTAGGAATCTTTGACTGATTTAGCGTTTATGATGCAGCGACAGGGTTGGTGGTGTGATTGCCTCGTGTAGAGCAGATTCCGACGTGTATCATTTACGACCTGACAGGCAACAGCTGAGTCTCCCAAACGCGGTCGGAACCAGTGCTTGTGGTCCTCCTCCAGAGGCCATACAGCTAGGGGGGTGCTTGCCAAGTACTACAGAGGTTCTCGTCCGTGCAGAAGCTGTTCAGCTTTGCTGTGGACCGAGGTTGTTAGCTTTTCCTGCAAATGGCGGCTAGCTTGCAGCACGAACATTTGGAGTGGCAATCTTAGAACGTGTTGGGGGATTCTTGAAGCTTTGTTGCGAAAGCCCTGCATCCAGGGCTCTGCGAGCATTTGTGGAAGCCTTAATCCTTTCAAGTGCAGTAGCTGAGTAGCGTTCCTGGTCATGTCCAGTAGAAAAGAGAGGTTGAAGTTGTAGCCGCGGCAGCTTGCTCTTGGCCATGAGCCTTCACATCAGCTGCTGTGCAAGGAGAATTTGGAGGGTTGGAACGATCGAGAAGTTTGTGAAGCTTTCCACCGGATGCATGAGGCGCCTCTTGTGGCATTTCAGTTGTGACAGATTTTTTTAGATGAATTTGTCCCGGCTGTGAACTCATGCCCTTGCTGCAGATTTTGTCTGGATACGACAGCTCCGTCGCAGCGGCCTTTGCATGTAGCCAGAACATGTGTGCTCGCTGTACACACGTGCTGGCAATCGAGGCAACGCAGTACATCTTGGAAGAGCACCCGCATTTGATTGAGCGTGTGCTCAAGTACGCCGCCTCCTTCGATTCCCATACCGCAGGCTTAGCAGTTCCGATAGGCAGGACGCATATGATGCAGGTACTCCCGCCTAGATGTACTGCCGCTGGATGCCTTGGCCCTTTGCGAACCTTGCTAGCTGTCGGGATTTGTTTGCAGCATTGTTTCCTCGCTGGGATACCATGTGCGCGAAATGTTATCAATCGTCACATGAGTCATTGCATGGCATCCGGGTTGACGAGGTCGCTGCTGGCGACTTCGGCGATTTTACTGAGAAGTCTGGGCCTACAGCCTGCTACACCAATCAAACAGTACAACAGTGATGTCAAGGTACACTTTCTTCAAGTGTGATGTGCAAGCCCGCGATGATGCGGTGGTTAGGCTGTGGACTTAGCGTCGGAGGTTCAAGCCACCTTAGTGCTCTAATATGGCTCCAAGCAAGTGACATTAGTTTGCCTGGGTATTGAGCACGTCAAGTCCTTTGGCTCAGGAATGGCCAGCTGTCGTTTACAGCCTACAGCTATGCAGCATTGCCAGCCCCATCCTGCTTTTGCATTTGTCATAGAATTCCAGTTCTTACCATACTCGCCAGGTACATACCCCCCCTAAACTTCGGTTCTTTGCGCAGCGCTCTTGGTGATCCCTCTGCCAGACCCGGCAAAGTTGGGTTTGCAAGTTCAGGTGAGATGACGGTGTCCTTCTATTTTTCCATTGACAATTTGGGCGAGGACTGCTTGTGACAAGTTGCAAGCTGCTTCTATCAGCAAAGACAGGAATGAGGATCGGTTTTGCTTGGCAACCTTTGTGGGAGTCACCTGATGGCGGAGCTGAAGATCGTTTTCCGAATGTTGTCTGCTGTTTCCAACAAAGCAAGTCCGACCGGCTCACGGCTTGCTGGCCGCAAGATGCTCCTGGATTTCGTAGGGTAAGTGTTTGCATGCTCTGCCAAAGTTGAGACCGGCACACCCCTGCTTCCTCTACCATGAGAAGTCTGACACAAAAGACGATAGCAGCTTCCATCAGTGCACTGCAGTTCAAGCCGCTAGCATCAAAGGCAATCCTGCCCTGTTGGACGGGTAAAAATGTTTGGATTGGCTTGAAAGGTTTTCGGATATGTGTGGAGTTGACAGGTCACTGTTTACTGGAAGCATTCTTCTGGAATACGTAGCTGTAGCTGTCTTGTAAAGGCGTGGGGGAGGATACGTTTCGCCAGAAGTTGTCGACAATTTTTCATATTTCCGTCTTTCATGAGGGTACCCACAACAGGACAAGAACGTTGAGAAGCGTTTTGGCTTCCGGCTCGGAGAGATTGAGGCTGGGCTGGTGGAGACTGGATGTCGTCAACAGAGCTCTGTCATTAAAACCTGGTAGGTTTATTTCGTCCCTGAGACTGACCTCACAGATATTGGGCAGTTCCGGCGCTGCTACACACGGGTTGGCCACAGCCTTAAGAAGAACGGTCAGGTTAGAGATCTTGTTCCTCGAAGATGCTTTGAGGTGGTGTTGGTGAGCCACAGTCTGAGTATCTTGACGAGGCAGGAGGACGAAGTTGTGCAAGTGCTGACCTGCAGCTGATTGCATCAATAGCTTCTAGCCTACAAGATGTGTGTGTTTTGAGGCGAAGGGGTCGCTTGAAGCTTCATGTGCTATGCATGATCTACCGGGGCCTGGTGTCACAAACAATGACGGGGCCCTGTCCTTTCCTCCTTTGCGCCCTCGTCCCTTTACATGTTGGGAATGCAAATCATGGTATCCGACGGTCCCCTCACTAGTTCGACACCAGGCAGCTTTCTTGGAGGGCGAGATGATGCGAGTGGTCTTCCAGATACACCAGGTACCACACATTTGTTGAACAAAGGTCACGTTTTGATTCTTTGGCGGCAGGACCATATGTCCACCATGCATCTTTGCAAGACATCCTCGGAGAAGGTCTTCGAGAAGACTCTGGAGCTGAACAGGCACAGACTCTATGCAAGACAAGTTGGGTAGTGACTGGAACAGCCTTTCCATCGTTTTCTGCAGGCATCCCAGACCTTGTTCTTAAGCGAATCATTTCAGCAAATGTGGGTGGTTTCGAGTGAAAGTAAAAGGTTTTGGTTTTGGGGGGTGATGTGTGCGAGTGGCGCCTGAAAGGCTTGGCTTCTGCAACGCAGCCAGCCGAGCCACGGACTTTCTGGGCATTTTTGCTGATGGTTCAGACTGTGAGAAGTGCGCCTGGCGGAGTCTCACCCTTATCATAATCTTCTTGTCTACTTCACGCCATGTCTGCCAGGGTCTTTACTGTCGAAAGCCTGTCGCTCTTGCAGTACGAAGAAGATCCTCACAGCAGCCTGGCACGATCCAGCTTATGTGGCACCTGGTACCTGCGCAGCACCGTGCTGAGGCTATCGTCTGCTGCCTGCCTCTAGCCCAGTTGGGCTCGTCCTTGGGCACATACTGGCATCAGCTGGTGAACCTTCCCTGCCTTAGGTGTGGCCGGATCTGAAGTCTCGAGCTGAAAGGCAGTCTCTTTCTAAGGAGCTCTGAATGGACAGTATTCTTGGGCAGGCTACTATGGATGGTCAGTGATGGCTGCAACAAGCACTACACCGGATCAATGCCTGGCCTGTTCGCTTCAGCCATTCTTGAGTGAAACTCCCGACTCGAACGACTGCCAGGAATTCCAAGAATCTCGGTGCTCTGGACAGCAGAGCAAAAGCTCTGGGGTGTGTATTTACGATGCTGGCCGAGTCCTCAAGTGCAGAAGGGAAACTGCAGCTAACGCATGTTGGGGTATGGGAGGTGCATATCACTCAGCCATCCGTGCGGTGCTGCCCTCATGTCAGCTTGGTGGTCGCCCTGCAAATCATGTAGCTGTGCTTGAGCTGAAGGTCCCGTGGCTTGAAGGCTTGTAGTGCAATCCTGAAGTCCATCGACCTCCTGATCCTGCGCCCGGAGGACAAGGCACCCTTGTCAGGTGTTGTGCGAGATGTACGTCTTTGGTTGAAGGCCTTGACCCGCCATTAACTGATGAACTGTCCCAGCTTTGCGTGCGCATGTTGTGCAGGGAGCCTTGATGCCACACTTGGGCAAGCTTGTTCGACTCTTCGACTTCTTGATCAGCATGGAAATGTCCGACCAGTGCCCCAAAATCTGAGTTGACGGGTCTTTCTTCCTTTTGTGACCCTCAAGCAGATATGACACTAGTTGCAAATTGGCACCTTGCTCTGTGGCTTACCCCTTACCTGAACGCATAACTTGATTCTATCTTGAGATTACTGAAGCACACGCTGATCGCGAACCTTTCTGTATGCGTCCACGAAATGCAAATTGAGCTAGAATGATCCTTGATGAAGGCCATCGTGGGGAATCTTGACAAAGATGTCTGCACAGCACAAACATGATTTCAAGGATCTGCCAGGCTACCAGTCTTTCTGGCATCTATTGCGCATTTGCTGGTAGCTAGCAGTTGTTAGAACACTCAACAACAGCCTTCACGTTCTCATATCCCACTGAACAACAATATGTTGATAGGAGCATGGGCAACTAAGAGAGCAATGTACACATTCGTTCAGAGCCCTATCATTTTTGGTTGCTTTTTGCTTCGGTTCCTTCTCTATGATTCAGCCAAGACAAACAAAAACCAAATGGAGCTAACCAGGCCAGCCAACCCAAAGCACCCAACACCCCAAAAGATGAATCATGTCGATTGCCGTTGAGAAAGTCCACAAAAAAGTCGAAGACTGGCCAGCAAACAGCCAAAGAGTACGGCAGGCTTCTGGATTAGCTTTGCATCCTGTCGGCAGCTTTGAAATGCATCATTGATTTGGGTGCTTAGCAAGGCGGTTTTGGCATGAGGGTTGAGAAGCGTTCGGCTTTGCAGAGGTACTTGTGGGAACAGGCCTGCGTAGCAGCTTCCTCAGATATCCCTAAATGCATGGGAATAGTAGATAGGAGCTTGCTTGGAGAGGTCCACTTGTTGGGACATTGCGTGGCTGGCGATGAGCACCGTTCTGCAGAGTTGCTCATGTTTGACAACTCCATGTTCAGCGTGGGCCTGCAGAGACTTGCCTGAAATCAAAAATGCAATGCGTTCCATCTTAATATGCAACTGAGAAGTAAGAAGGTCTTGGAACCGTTTGGTTTGTTGCACTACATCATGTTTTTAGTTCATGATGCCACTTCGTGCAGACGACGAAGAGAGGACAACCGATAGCAATCCCGCATGCAACTATCATAATCATCATCAGCATCATTCTGGGTTCGAGACAAGACTTGCAACTGAGCTCTGGTAAATGGCTGTTGGGCGCCCTTCACTGTGAGCAGCTCTGACTTAAATTTGCTGCCATACGGGCCCTACTCTTCCCACGAGCATGCTGACATCCACTGTTTCGGCTGGCTTTAATTGACTCTCCCTTATGGAGGCTTTGCCGAAGACGCTATCGCAGTAATGGGACTTAAGGAGCGTAGACAAAATATGCAGCATGGTAGGTAACACCCCCCAACACTCTATCGTGCTTGTTCAGGTGTCAGATGCGTAAAGCATTTTTGGATGCCCTTTCCGTCCTTTGAAGACACCCATTTTCAACCGCTGGAAGCACAACCTGCGTTAATGCTTGCCTTAGGACCTTGTCCTAGCAACTTGAATTCTCTACATACCAACCTTACTGAAAGCGACACATCCAGGGGCACTTGCCAGTTTGAGTTGCCTCACACAGGAACTGCCTCAGTGCTGATTCACGCAGAGCTCACCGAGACAACGTGATTGCGAGAAGTGAGACTGGATCCACTGAAGTCAACAGCACCATACGTCTGCAGAATGCGGCTTTATTTTGTTTGTCTGCGCTGGGTCTTCCACAGTCATCAGCTGAGTTGCAAGACAAAGGGTGCCTACTGGAGAAGAAAGAGCGTCCTGTTGGCCGTTTACATCCAGATGATGCTGCAAGACTTCTACAATTGCTTGGGTCGAAGCGAGAGTCTGCAGAGGAAGCCATAGGCAGCTTCCAAGCACACCCTGCAGTCTTCCCGGCCTACACTCTGATGTGCGTGGTAGCGCTCAAGCGCGAGCTGTGCATCAAGGCTGCGGCCCCCAGCTTTCAAGCGCTGATTGTGAACGAGTCCAATCTGCCAAACGTCTTTGTGAGCTTAGAGGACTTCACTGTGTGTGTCCAAGTGCGGACGAAATCCGGCAGGCTCGAGTCAGCGCAGTCCTCAATATCCATTCTGGATCAGGCGATGCCGGTGGCAGTGACTGTGGTGGTTGATGGGTTGCTGGTCTTCCTCTACCTCAACGGCAAAGAAGCTTTGGACCAACCCAAGCGCCTCTCAGACTATGCTGCAGAGGTCCAGGCTGGGGACATCCTCTGTGGCCGTTCTCGCAAGGCGGTAGAGGCACTGGAACGTGGCGACGTGCGTCGAGAAGAGGACCCGGTGCTGGCAGGTGCCATGCTCATGCTCCGCTTCTTCCCGAGAGCCATGGTTGCTTATGAAGTGGACTCCAAGATGCAAGTGGCACGCAGCCAAGCAGCCAAAGTGTTGAAACGAAAGCCCGGCAGCACATCTGACGAAATCCCTCTGACAGTATACAATATCATTGAAGTGACACAGCTTGTTATTCAGTTCACGCAGGTTCAGCTCAGTGATGAGTCGCTGGCAGCAATGGGCAGGAAGAAAGCTGGACTTCAAGAGGTCCTGGATCCTGACACGATCATGTGGATGGTCCTGGCACTGGGCACAGCGGCCATATACCTGCCCCACCAGCATCCAAAGTTTCTGGATCTCATCAAGCAACCTTTTGTGAAGGTAATGCAGATGATTGCTGGCATCATTGATGGTGCAAGCTCCAAGCAGTCTCTGTCCAACTATGAACAAGCATTCATTGCAGCGTGCACTGTCTACGTCGCATTTGTGTTGGCTTCTCCGCGTGGCAAGAACATCATGCAGGATGACCTGGCAGCAAAGCTGATCATCAAGATGAATGCCTTCAGTGACAGCCCAATCGACTTTAGCGACTACGAATCCTAGCAGCAAACAGAGATGGGTTTGGGGCTATCTTGCCATAGGGTCTGTAGGAGCTGCCTCCAACCCTTAACCCCCAGGCGTTTCACATCACCTTGCCTTATTGATCATTCTTGTGCAAGCCTAAGGTGATCAAGAACTGCCAAAGTGTCTCGTCGCGGGTTGCCGTGTTGATACTGCGAGCAAGGCAGGAAACTCCTGCAACGCTCGCGCTCGTCCTCGACGCAATCATCACTAGAATTGTGAACGAAGATGGTGTAATCTTCAAGGAGGCGCAAAAGCTTTAGAGGATCAGCTGTAAGCCATTCTTGTTAGCTTGCCGTCCAGGATCTCCAGGAGTTTCTCGTCGATCAGGGCCTTGGAGCTGTGGTTCAGGTCCTCGATTACGTCGGCAGGCCGCGCTGAGAAACATCCCCACTACATTCTGTTACAAGAAGCGGTGTCAGCTGGTAAAAACGAATGCGACACCTGAAAAGAGTAATTGCCAGTAGCGGTGTCACAATATTCACCGCCCAACAAGCCGCGCATCGCTATGATAAGCAACTTTCGGATCTTTTTGTCTCACGGGGAGACGTCCTTTCAGGGGGTGGGCCAGTGGGATTTGTCTTACAGACCTAATTTTTAATGTTTCGCGTTGTGCGATCTTATTGCATCGTATTGTCACAATCCCATATACTACTATCACCTGAGCTTTTGTAAAAAGCGCAGCTGAACTCGAGGACTTTGCAAGTGTTAAGTCCGATGCTGCATCGAATATGCGGCACTAGGTAACGTTGGCAGAGTTGTTGCAGGGGCCTCCTGCAAATTGAGCGCCGTGAGCGCGATCGGAAGAAGATGGCATCATGGCTTACCTCGGCTGAGAATGAGGACCCAAGCATCACAGGCTTCTGAAAAGCTAATTGCATCGCAGGGTGCTGGCTTGTCAGGAGCGTGCACGTCAAGAGAAAGCGGATCGCTTGGCTCTGGAGCAAGTGGGCACATTGGCAGCGCGAATGCATCGCCAGCTCTTCCTGCAGCTTCACCATGTCATGGACGAGGCTTGTGGTCTAGGGCACTTAACGCAGTTGGCTTTGCATACCATGTATATCGTCATGCAGGGGCTGTCGAGTCAAGCTGTTGCCGTGCCTAGCCGCTGTTTCGGCTTGTTGCCTATTGACAGGTAATTCATGGGCTTCCCTTGGATGAGGTGTCCATGCTGGCCCTGGTATCCAGTCAGCATTCATCAAAGCGTTATGCAGGAGACGGATAGAGCCAAAGACTTGCGTGCCGGGCGGTTGTTTGCACATGGACCTTCTTGCGGTTGGTCAGCGCACGTGGAGTTGCACTTCAAAGACTTTCTTTAGCTCTGTGTGCAACTGTCAGATTGCCGGCTGCCAGCTGCAACTGCCGTTCTTGTCCATTGCATACGGTTTTCTTGTCCAGGTTGCGTGTTCCAACCTGCTCCCATGGATTCCAGCTGAGGTGAAGATGGTCGGGACAGTGCTAGAGGTGTGTCTCTCCGACTTTCTGGTCATTGTAATGGGATCGCGCCTCAGGCTTCAGGCTTGTCGTAATGCCTTTCTCTCAGGTCCCGCAGGTCAACTTCATGCCCGCAACATCCTTGCGTGCCGACCGGATGCAAGACATAGAGGCGAGCGAAATGTAAGGTCAAATGTTGATTCTGGATGTTTGCATGAGCATGACATCATCTACATGCAGGGGACATTATACTGGGAAAGTTTGCAGAACTTTCTGCATTCCCGAAGACTGCTGCCAAGAGACAGTGCCTGCGCTTGTGCAGGTGGCTGAAGGCATGCCGTATGAATGCTGGCGCAACATCTGTGAGCTCTCTTGCGACAAGTTGCGGGCACTATGCTCACAAATTTGCTGACTTTTGCCGGCGATTTTGCAAGCCTGATGGCTTTGATTTGCAGTAAGGTTTGGACTGAGAAATTCTATCCCATGTCGCTGCGGACATTCGGCGAGGCTGAAGGGCCTTGCACACAATTGAAAGCGGTTCTTATGTGCCTGGCTGTTGCCTGTGCAGGTATCGACCATGCTGGAGGATCTGCAGGAGCAGGTGGTGGTCCGCGACCGTCGGCACATCAGCTCGCCTCGTTTGGAGATAGGGGCTTTATCGTGCCTGCCCCAGGAATTGCCGGGTTAAAAGGCACTTTGTATCAAGTATGCTACCGCCAAGGCACACCAACCGTGTCTGATCCCCAGAGTCAGCTGTGTGCACGGCAGCACTCCACCGCATAGCCCAGTTCAGTAGATGAAGTTTGATCATCGAATGAGTGTGAGCAAACCTCAAGCTTCTGGCGCATGTTTGGTTGGCGCGAAGAACGCATTTTATGGACTCATTGGAGCCTGAATCGTACTGCGAGAAGAAGCAAGTGATATGGCAAGCAGCAGGGCACGCATGAATGGGCGTTCGGGGACAGAAATCAGAACAAATTTGCTGGTTTGTGCTTGCCCTGACGCACGCGCAGTCTTCGCAGTCTTCCGGACAAGAAGAAGACAAGTAAAGCACAGCGCATGTTACACCCAAATGAGCCCGCCATCCTGCACAGAGATGGAAATGCAATCTGCTGCTACTACAATGGCTGTTCAACCTTGTGTATCCTGGTGTGACAGTGATGTCACGCAACATTGCTTCCTGCGGTGCAGAGGAGGGAGAGCATAGACGAAGCGACGCAACACCACCGCGAACACGTGGCTCCTGCATGGCGCGTGTGAAGCCAGAAGCAAGTGAACAACTTTATTTGCAGACCTACAGAAATCTGCTGCAAGAGACCGCAGTGAGATGCAAGGTTTGGGTTCATTTCCAATCCTCGCAGCCAGAGTTCCTCACGGATACAGAGGCGTGCGGTTTTCGCTCTTTTCTTCAACGTTTTTCGAGCACATGATCGTTGAGACCAGGTGCGCGTTCTACCTGTGCATGAACCACCTCTGGAGCTTCCACGCAAGAAGTCAGGCAGAGCTTGTGACAACACTCCCAAAGGCTCTAGCTACCCCCCTCTAGTAGGCTGTTGCAAAGCAGATGCACTGATTATAGAAGTGCATTTGCTTTGCAAGAATATGAAGCAGCTGGCTCTTCCAATTGAAGCACCCGTAAATGACAATACAGGGCTTGAGGAGACGGAGATGTGCTTGCCCTAGAGTTGTTGAAATGTACGAGGTCACAAGTACTGCGCAGAGCCTTCACGTCTCGTGGCCTTCGCGAACGCAGTATTACGTAATCCCCGCTTCAATGATGAGGCCTGGCCTCCAGAATTGAGCAGTTTTGAGGCCAACCTTACCTGGCAGAGAGGTGTACGCCAACACAGTCGTCCTGCTTGCCGAACTGAATCTGCCAGAGCTCTACACATCCATGGTGGGCACCCTTTACGCATCAAGCCACACAGCTGAACTCATCGTTCTGCCTGGACAGGTGCCTTTACTTGTGCAGACCGCATTGCAGTCTGATTGGCTCTGTCGCTTGGTATCCCATGAAGTTCTTCACAATGTCTTTGCCTCAAAGGACCTCCCTGGTTTCTTGGTTGATTAGCTGTGAACTTGTATGCAGGTGCTGTATCCAGACAAGCACCTGCTGCCACTCCTCTATGAGGAGAAGAGCTAGCTCGCAGCTTTCAAAAGTTGCAGCTCCTATTTGGTGATGTTGTTTGCCTGCTTTGCGATGTGCAGGCTGTGCTATCACCAGCGCCGGTGCAGACGCGATACGAGCTGCTGGAGCTTTGCAGGTGATCAACATGTTAATACATGTCAAGTCCTAGTGCGATAGCCCTTCGATGCGCAGGCGGATTGCCCACTCTTCGTTCACACCTTCCGAGGGCTTTGAAGAGTTCCTGCAAACATTGCGGAACAGGCTTCAAACACACATTTTTGCCATATTCCTGCATCAGCCATTATGATGATGGTGATGACTGTGACCGTGTGAGGCCACCTCCCAGCCTGCACCCGGAGGGCAGCTCGTCATCCCGCGCAGTACCCACATCCATGAAGCCAGCGCACGATGCCTCTTGGTTGCGTCAAACTCATGCTGAATCCCTTCACGGATGCTGGGATTGCTCGGCTTCGCTCAGGCTTGTGCAGTGAGCCTTCTCCTGTCCTCTGCTACTCGGCTGGAAGCATGTAGTCCTCATTGAAGATTTGCAGTGCCGCAGTGCCTAGCGCTTTCCGAGATCAGCACTGGCGTGCCTGAGGAGGTGCAGGTGAGGACATCAGATATTCGGAAGGGTTGCAAGACCTTGATTTCCTGCCCAAGTCTCTGCAGGTCTCGGTTGTGGGGCTGGCTACCATGATCATCGCCCGGGACATCAATGCCTGCGAGCAGGTCTGTGCTTCCAGACATTGCGCATGCTGTGACATGCGCTGACCATCCTAGCAGTGGCAGGCGATTCTGGAGAACCAGTACCATGATGGAGTTGTTGCTGGGGCCTTCGGCACCTCACTGACTGAAAACAGTCGATTCTTGCGATTGTGCAAGGTTGACGGCGACAAGCCTTTCTTTCTGTGGCGGACGTTTGCGGATTTGGTGTCGTCCAGGCCATTGCGGCAAGCCAAGTGCTAGCTCTCAGGAAGACATGAGCTCTCGCCAAGGAAGCGTGATCTGCAGAAAGCCACTGCTCGTTTCCTGAATACACTGTTCTGGAGGCCAGCCCGTTTGATCTTTGACATTCCATCCTCGTATGCTCTGACTCCAGATGTGCGGCTGGTGTGCAGGCTGCCGCAAGACACAATTGAGCTTACCACCCGACCTCGAGGGCAGAGCTCTGAAGAGTACTGGATGCGCGGCGCCCACACTCGGGTAGTGCCCCGTGTGCACGTTTGAGCCAGCATCTTGACAGAGCTGAAATCAGATGCCGACTGGGTCCTAGTCAGACTACTGTTGCACGGAACCAGGGCCATAGGAGCTGCCGCACAAGTCCAACTCACGACTCAAACATTTTTACTTGCCTGTGGATGGTAGCCTCTCTATGCCACTGTGGACAGCTCGAGGTTGCCGCGACTGCTTGATGCCCTGGGACACCCGGACGATGAGGCTCGGGATGCTCTCCCTCACTGAATTCCGAGATCTCCGAGTCTGCAATGAAGAGGCAGTGGAAGATCTCCTGCAAGTCCTGTCTCCCTTGGCCTCACCTGTGCAAGCCGTGAAGAAAGAGGACGGCTAGTCGGCTGGTCGGTCCCAAGTCATGGGGTTGTCCAGCACTGATGAGACAGGACTTGGAGGAAGAGTTTGCCCACCTTGTGTTTGCCCCACAGCCGGTCGCTTACTGCGCCGTTTCAGGGTGAAAGGGAGCCGAGACGAGTGTTCGTGCAGTATAGGCACACTTTGTCGCGGGAAAGGGAGACTTCGGCGCAAAGGCTTCTGCGGGAGGCGACGTGTGCAGAATTGGCCCCAAGTTTTTGTCCTTGTGACCCGGAGTTCTGACATATGCCGAAATATAGCGAAACCTGCTACTTTTTTTTTTCTAGCGCTCAGACCGTGCCAACAACATGTTTGAGGATTCGCTTTGCCCCTCCTCTATAAACTTGGAGGCTTTTTCGTACGACTGCATCAAGTCCTCTGCTGCATACTGAATATGTTCCAAATTGCTCTGCCTCTCGGGTTGATGTGTCTCCACTGGCCCGCACTATCAAGCTGCCTTCTTCCGTTGATCCTGAAGCTGGGCTGCCTTGGCCGCCTTGGGTGTACTAGGCTGCTGGCATGATCAGCGATGGCGAGCGGGTCAGCGCATGCCTGGCATGTGCTTTTTGTGAAGTCGCAGCCTGCTGAGCGTGTGCTGTTGGAGGGTTGCCAAAAATTATGTGCAGTGGCTCCACGCGAAGACGCTGGATGCCTCCCTGCCTATAAAGATTAAAGACGTTAAATCTTTCCAGGTGTTGGTCTACCTTCTTCGTTTGCTTCGGCCTCGATTTCTGCGTCGGGCGTTGGTGCCTGCCCAAGAAGACTTGCAAGCCCAAAGATGTTGTAAGCAAGATCTCCAAGGACTGGAAGGCTTCTGTACGAGACTTCGTGTGGCTGACTTGGCAAGATATTTCCAGCCTCAATTGAGCTGGTTTACGATTTTGCAAGGCTGGATCTGATTCTGAATGACCGTGTGCTCACGGAACTGACCACGGCAATGGGAATCGCGGATGAGTTCTGGGTGGTGGCCTGCTACTCAGTGCTCAGTAGCTTTGCCAGTGCTGTTGTGGTCCCACATATCATGTTTGCTCTGTTTTCGGTCTTCGAGGTTGTTCAAGTCCTCGAGTCGGGTGGTCTTCCTGGACAACGTTGGGTTGCCTGCAGCTGAGATGATAAATGAAGAGGCTTTTACATTGCACGTGGTGCCGTATGTGCAGCTCAAAGGCGCAGACTCTTCGGTGGTTGGTGCGAGCTGCGGAGCAGGCCGAGCCCAGAGCTTTGTTCATATTCATTTCCTTGGCCAAAAGCAAAAATTGCGGAAAACATACGGACATCTGCTGCCTGCCCTGCGCAAAGCTTGGCCACTTTCAATCTACGTTGTTTTTTTGTCGCACGCAGGGTGCAAGACACCCTTGTCGAATCTGACCAGCGTGCAGAATAGCAGAGCAGCTTTGATTGCTCAAAGTTGACAAGCCAGACTTTATCGTCAGCGAGGGCAACTGTGATGGCCAGGAAGCGCCACAAGCGGAAGAGAGCGAAGACAAGGACTGCATCCATTTCGAACGTTGCCAATGCGAAGAATGGCTGGAAGTGGTGCATGCTGAACTTGGTGAGAGGCGGGTGACCTTCGTCTGGTTCGCAGCGCATGTTCACCGAAGGTTCTTGTGCCGCTGGCGCAGGGCTCAGTGGAGTCAGTAGTGTATGCCAGTGGCAGTCTTGTGGATGCTACACCTCATGCCCAAGAATGTGAGGTCATGCATCTATCGCAAGGAGCACTGGCCAGTGCTTCTAGCACAGCCAAGAGGATGCTTGCCGCGCACGCCGCCCAGGCTTTCTTGATCCACAGGTATCTGCAATGTACATTATCAAGCAGTGTTGTGACTCTCCTTGCGCATTGAAGTGACTCTTGGCTGGAGACATCCAGGTTGGAGCAGGTGCCAGATTCGCTGTTGTCACTGTCCGAGGGCTCAGACGTACTTGGCATAGCTTGTGCCTGCCTTGATAATTGAGAGAATCATGCTGATTAGGGTGCCACAAGGAATGTTGCGGCAGCAAGACATGTTCAAACTGCTGCTTGCGAAAGTTGGCTCTCAAGCGGGCACGGTTGGGGGGTGCGCGGCCTCCCACAATGCCGTTGGCGTCTCAGAACAATTGTGGAAGTAGAGCATGGGGCCTACACCTTTGTTGGAAGTTGGTCTCACGCGAGGCTCGGGACTTTGAAAAAGTTCTTCGCTGACAAGGGTTTTGGTTTTATTACACCTGATGAGTCCCGATCTCAGCTGTCCTTGGCTGACCTCACTTCTCGGTCGCAGTACAACAGATGAAGATTTGGATCCAGTTACTGAAGTGGCAGTCCCTTCATGCTGTGGGGATCGACAACATCTTATCAACTTGCAACATAAAACAGAGCTCAAGAACTCTGACATGACAATGAAAGCGCATCCAGGAGGGTTTCCAGTCACTTGCAACATAGGATTTTAAGATGGGTCCATCAAAAAGGGTTACCCTGAAGCACATGCACTTCAAGTTCCTTGCCTTCATGCTTGGGGGGTTCAAATGGGTCAAGTTCTTTTCCACGAATCAAGTGCTTTTTGAAGCATTCTCAGGGTTGGACGTGTAGAGTGTTGGCATTATACGATGCCCAGCAGTACCACAGTAGCACTTCTTTACCACGCGGGTGCAAGCAAAGAGTACGCACCGCAAATCACACTACAACAAGGCAACACACGTAGACACGCACACCCCGGGCGGCAGCACAAGCCACAAATTGCTGCCTCAACAGCGAGATCGGGACAGAGATCAGCACCGCGAGCGCACAAATACAGAAAACATTTGGTGCAAGTCGCAGTCGCATCAGGAAGAGCATAACCTCTACAAACCACAACCACAGGCAATGTACCCGAAACATTTCCGAAAGCAGTCGTTAGAAGGACTTCGGGATGATCCCAAAGCTTTGCACCCTCCGATTCGACTTGGAGTGCGACCGCGGGGAAGACACAAGCGCTTTGCTTCAGGTCTTAGGTTATCTAGGATTGCGAGGCATGTATCTGCTGCCTCAAAAATCGCCGCAAGCCCAGAGTCTCAATACAGTCATCCTAAACCAGGTTAGGATTTTATGACCATAATTGGAATACATAAGCCCAAGAATGAAAATCACTTACCCTCCTAGGGTTCCTTTTAGAGTGCTCTTCGACTCGATTTAACCTAGCTCCAAATTCTTATCTGTCCTACACCCTAAACGTCTTTCCTTGTAGTCTCCAACCCAAAGCTGGGGCCTGGGTTGGGTTGAGGAAAGGTGTATCTTCTTAAGGGACTGCAAGTGTTAAGCCTTTAGTGCCTGGGTCATTGGCTCGCAAGGGTTTAGGGTATGAGATGGTTTTGGCTTTAGGGTTTAGGGTTTAAGATGTTGCTGGCTTTAGGGTTTAGGGTTTGAGATGTTGCTGGCTTTAGGGTTTAGGGTTTGAGATGGTGCTGGCTTTAGAGTTTAGGGTTTGAGATGGTGCTGACTTTAGAGTTTAGGGTTTGAGATGGCGCTGGCTTTGGGGTTTAGGGTTTGAGATGGTTTTGGCTTTAGGGTTTAGGGTTTGAGATGGTTTTGGCTTTAGGGTTTAGGGTTTGAGATGGTGCTGGCTTTCGGGTTTAGGGTTTGAGATGGTTTTGGCTTTAGGGTTTCGGGTTTGAGATGGTGCTGGCTTTAGGGTGTAGGGTTGGAGATGGTTTTGGCTGAGGGTTCAGGGTTTGAGATGGTTTTGGCTTTAGGGTTTAGGGTATGAGATGGTTTTG